GTGGAAGATGAAGGGGAAGCAAGCACGTCTTACATAGTGGAGCAGGAGCAAGAGAGACAGAGGGGGGAGGTGCTACACACTTCTAAACAACCAGATCCCATGAGAACTGACTGACAGGAGGACAGTACCAAGGGGGGATGGTGTTAAATCATGAGAAGCCACCCCCATGATCCAATCACCTCCCATCATGCCCCTCCTCCAACATTGGGGATTACAATTCAGCATGAGATTTGGGTGGGGACACAGATCCAAACCATGACACAAGAGCTGTTTGACAAATTGTAATCCCACAAAAATGAAAGAGATTCAACTTTGATTTAGAATCTACAATAGCAAAATTTTCACCATTTGATAAACAGCCATGACACATGAGGCAGCATCAAGTCTAATCACTGAGCCCTGTCAAGCACAGGAGAGCTTCCTGAGTGTCATCCTTAAGGTACATGTTGTACCTGTACAGGTGAGAGCCATTTTTTGGACAAGATAATAGAGGAATCCATGTTAATGTAACTCACTGCTGAGTTGGCAGTGAGCTCACTCATTGGCAGCCAAATGAAAAAGCCCATATGGGAAGAAATTAATAAAGCTGGCATGTTTTCTGTTCCTATCAGCATAACCCAAGATATAGAGATAAATAATGTTTGTTCAGTAATGACTCAAATGTGTCACAGGCATTTTGAGAGAATGTCTATGGTAAAGTTTAAATATTAGGACAATTATAGTCCATTGTGTCCCTGGTCCAAGATGAATAAAATAGTGTTTCAAAAAGGACTGGGTTTACATAGTACATCATATTTTACATAAAGACTCTGCATAGTTGAAATAAAAGTGGCCTGACACTGGGATTCAAGAGTCCTGGTTTTGAGACCTGCTTTGCTGGTTTACAGTTGGTAGTTCTCAACAAGCTATTAACACTCTGTGTGCCTCAGTTTCCACACATTTGAAAATGGGGTTGATACTATCTCATAAGATTCTTATAAAGGTTGAATGGAAAACTAAAAAGCACTTTGCAAATGAGAAGCATTATCATCACCATCATCATTATCTTCATCATCATCATGTTATTTTTACTTTCTCAACAGTCCCCCAAGGGAGCAAGATAGAGCAAGTAGACCATTCACAAATGAGACTGAAGGTGAGAGGATTTAAGCGACTTCCCAAGGTCACACAACTAGGAAGACTAGCATTCCCATCACAGCTATGAAAAACTGGGTGAAATTTAGCTGAGGAACATAAAGGTTTTCTATTTTGGATCTCATCCTTTAAATCATAGAATTATAAAAATGAAAAAGTCAGGACTGTGTTTAGATACAAGCAACACAGACCCCTGCCAAGGGTCTTGTGTGTTAGTTAACAACAAGGGCCAACCAACTGGACCAAATACGGCCTGCTTTGGTTAATAAAGTTTTATTAGAACACAGTCACCCTCATTCATTTACAAGCTGTCTTTGGCCGCTTTTGCACTACAACAGCAGAGCTGAATGGTTGCAATAGAAACCCTATGGACCACAATGCTAAAAATATGTACAATCTGGCCCTTTACGGAAAAAGTTTGCCAACTCCTGCTTTAGAAGGCCCCGGTATCACAAACCACACAAAAATAAATGTGTTAAAGAACACATGGCTGTTCTATTTGGTGATTGGCACTAGAAGAGTGTGACTCATGTCCTTGAATAGCCACTGTTGTGACCAGTACTCCTCAGGCCTCAGGCCCCAGATCACATCTGCCTGTGTCCTTGAGACCAAAGAGACTACCTCTGGATGCCAGGAAGGTTTGAGACTTCTGCCATTGTTCACTTGGGCCAGCAAGGCCTTGGGTCTGGAGGAGAATTTGAGCAGCATAAGTACTTAGAAAACAGAAATGAAAAATCAAGTAATTTGTCAAACCCTCCCCCAAAACAGCATAAACTACAGTAGATTCTTGCATATGAAGTATCATTTCCCAGTGGAGGCGGGCATCCTTGCTCTCTTTGAGTTTCAATTCCTGGTTTTGGATCTGGGGGTGTTCACAGATTGGCAAAGTACACAGATGCATGTGGCAACTGGGTACCATTTTGCAATATTAAGTAACTAATGTTACTTGAAAAATTTTTTTAGGTAGGTCATCATATAATATGCAGGAATTGTGATGCTTTTTTTCTATATTGGCAGCTAGATGGATGTTGAACAGTAGAATTGTGAATGGTGTTATTTTCCTAAAATGATTTCATTTAAATAATTTTTATTTAAATATTTGACATTGTCCATTCAGGCTGCTGTAACAGAATACCTTAGAATGTTTAATTTATGAACAATAGAAGTTTATTGCTCATAGTTCTGGAGACTGGGAAGTCCAAGGCCAAGACACCAGCTGACTCAGTGTCTGCTGAAGGCCTGTTTCTTCACAGATGGTGCCTTCTATGGGCCCTAACATGGTGGAAGGGCAAAAGGGGCTCACAAGCTTTTCACACCTCTTTTATAAGGTCACAAATCCCACTGTGAGAGCCCTCATGACCTAATCACCTCCCAAAGTCCCTACCTTCTAATAATATGAGCTTGGTGATTAGATTTCAACACCTAAATTTTGGTGGGATATAAACATTCACATTATAGCAGATATTCATGTATTATAAATTTGTATTTTGCCTCTTAATTTTAAAGATAAATTTTGAATTTTTAGAAGAAAAATACACATTTGAAAGCACAAAAGTTTTAAATTGGGGGACTTTTAAATATTTATTTTTATTTAAATTATTTGATGAAAACATTCAAATTGTGTATGCTTTGAATACCAATATGTCTTATTTTTATAATCCTTTGAGCATTACTGTCAATGAAATAAAATCTAGGCTTCTCATTTTTATTGGTAGTCATGCTTTTTCAGTTTTGGCAATAACAAAAACAATATGCCTATCTTTAGTTTTTTTAAAAAAAATTAGAGAACAGATGAGAAAGTGACTGAAGAGAATCATTAATATGGTCCTAATAGAGACTTTAGTTGGAATTGGGTTGATTCCATTTTACCCCAATGTGTTAGTCTGTTCTCATGCTGCTAATAAAGATACACCCAAGATTGGGTAATTTATAAAAGAAAAAGGTTTAATTGGTTCACAAGTCAGTATGGCTGGGGAGGCCTCAGGAAACTTACAATCATGGTAGAAGGGGAAACAAACCTGTCCTCCTTCACATGGTGGCAGGAAGGAGAAGTGCAGAGCAAAGTGGAGAAAAGCCCCTTATTAAATCATCAGCTCTCATGAGAACTCACTCTCTATCATGAGAACAGCATGGAGGAACCAACCCCATGATCTAATCACCTCCCACGAGGTTCCTCCCCCAGCACATGAAAATTACAATTTGGATTACAATAAAGATGAGATTTGGGTGGGGACATACAGCCTGACCATATCATTCTGCCCCTTGCCCCTACAAAATCTCATCTTTCTCACATTTCAAAGCACAATTTTGTCTTCCCAACAGTCCCCCAAAGTCTTAACTCATTCCAACATTAACCCAAAGCCCAAGTCCAAAGTATTATCTGAGACAAGGCAAGCCCCTTCTACCTAGGAGCCTGTAAAATCAAAAGCCAGTTAGTTACTTCCTGGATACAATGGGGGTGTAGGCATTGGGTAAATACATTCATTCCAAATGGGAGAAATTGGCCATAATAAAGGGGCTACAGGCCCCATGCAAGTCTGAAATCCAACAGGGTAGTCATTAAATCTTAAAGTTCCACAGTGATCTTCTTTGACTCCATGTCTCACATCCAGGTCACACTGATGCAAGAGATAGGCTCCCATGGCCTTGGGCAGCTCTGTCCCTGTGACTTTGCAGAGTACAACACCCCTCCCTGCTGCTTTCATGGGCTGATGTTGAGTGTCTGTGGCTTTTCCAGGTGCACAGGACAAGCTATTGGTGGATCTACCATTCTGGGGTCTGGAGGACAGTGGCCCTCTTCTCACAGCTCCTCTAAGCAGTGCCCCAATGGGGACTCTGTTGGAGCTCCAACCCCACATTTCCCTTCTGCACTGCCCTAGCAGAGGTTCTCCATGAGGGCTCTGCCCCTGCAACAAACTTCTGACTAGACATCCAGGCATTTCCATACTCCTCTGAAATCTAGGTGGAGATTCCCAAACTTCAATTCTTGACTTTTGTGTACCTGCAGGCCCAACACTACATGTAAGCTGCCAAGGCTTGAGGCTTGCAACCTCTGAAGCAACAGCCTGAGCTGTGCCTTTGTCCCTTTTAGCCACAGCTGGGATGCAGGGTCCCAAGTCCCAAGACTGCACAAAGCCCCAAGGCCGTGGGCCCTGCCCATGAAACCATTTTTTCTTCCTAGGATTCAAGGCCTCTAATGAGAGGGGCTGTCTTGAAGGTCTCTGACATGCCCTGGAGATATTTTCCCCCATTGTCTTGGAGATTAACATTTGGCTCCTTGTTACTTATGCAAATTTCTGCAGCTGGCTTGAATATATCCCCAGAAAATGGGTTTTTCTTTTCTATTGCATTGTCAGGCTGCGAATTTTCCAAACTTTTATGCATTGTCACCTCTTGAACACTTTGCTACTCAGAAATTTCTTCTACTAGACACCCTAAATCATCTCTCTGAAGTTCAAAGTTCCATAGATCTCCCGGGCAGGGGCAAAATGCTGCCAGTCTCTTTGCTAAAGCATAACAAGAATCACCTTTGCTCCAGTTCCCAAAAAATTCCTCATCTCCATCTGAGCCCACCTCATCCTGAACTTCATTGTCCATATCACTATCAGCATTTTGGTTAAAGTCATTCAACAAGTCTCCAGGAAGTTCCAAACTTTCCCACAACTTCCTGTCTTCTGAGCCTTCCAAACTGTTCCAGCTTCTGCCTGTTACTCAGTTTCAAAGTCACTTCCACATTTATGGGTATCTTTACAGCAGCACCCACTACTACCGGTACCAAGTTACTTTATTAGTCCTTTCTCACACTGCTAATAAAGACATACCAGAGACTGGGTAATTTATAAAGGAAAGAAGTTTCATTGACTCACAGTTCATCATGGCTGGGGAAGCCTCAGGAAATTAAAAATCATGGCAGAAGGGGAAGCAAACACATGCTTCTTCACATGGTGGCAGGAAGGAGAAGTGCAGAGCAAAGCAGGGAAAAGTCCCTTATAAAACCATCAGATCTCATGAGAACTCAGTCACTATCATCACTATCATAAGAACAGCATGGGGGAACCACCCCCATGATCTAGTCACCTCCCACGAGGTCCCTCCCCCAACACATGAAAATTACAATTCGGATTGTAACAGAAGATACAGTTTGGGTGGGAACAGAGAGCCAGACCATATTATTCAACATTTCTGGGAATCTGTTCCTCAGGAAGAGAAAGGAAGTGGGGGAAAAAGTTCTGTTCCATTTTGGGACTGCACAATCCCATTTAACTTTGCTTTCCAGTGGATTTAGGTTTCTTTTTCCAGTGACTCATTTACTAGGAGGCTGCTTCTCAGGGGGCTTCCTCCGACGCCAGCACAGAGTTCCTTGAAGCCCCACCTGAGGTTGCATTTCTTAGGAGGAGGAGGGAGGGCTGCTGGGCTGGTCTGTAAACAAGGCAGCCTTTGTCCCATTTATCCCGAAGACAGCTTCTTCCCCTGGGGTGCCATTAGGGCAGTCATTCAGGGAGCTAACAAAGAAAGGCATTTCTCTTGTGAAGAGAGACACTCTTCCAAATCCACCCAAGGCACTCCTGGAAAACTGGCACCAGGTGTATTTCATTACTCAAGTGGGTTCCAAGGCAAGCACTCAGCTCTGCCACCCTGGGCCTGGGGGAACTTCTTCCACACTTCAAGGAAATAATGCATTCATTTTTTAGCTCATTCATTCATTTAACAAATATAGACTGCACACCTATTGTGTGCCAGGCACTGTGCTAGGCATAGGAGCACAACTGTGAATGTGGTCAATGGTTTCCTGTGCTACATTAAATAGATTTGGTCTTTGTCCGTGGTTCCTGGCACAGCACTCTTGAAACCCTTGGGATTTCCAGGAAGGAGTATTTGTGGCTGGTCACCAGAAAGACTGAGTGGTTAGAGGGTTGGAAGTCTCAGCCCACCTGCCCACCTCCTGGGATGGGAGGAGGTGGGAGCTGGAGATTGAGCGCTATAAAAACTCTTGGACAATGAGATTTGGAGAGCTTCCATGTTGGTGAATGCAGCCACATGCCAAGAGGGTGGCACTCCCCAGCTCCATGAGATAGACGCCCTTGCGCATGGGACTCTTTTGGACTTTGCACTGTGCACTTCTTCATCTGGCTGTTCATTTGTATCCTTTATAAATTAACTAGTGTTGGGACGCAGAAAACAATTCCCCAAAATGAAGGCCTCCAAAGCCACCTCAGAAGCAAAAAGTTTTTATCTGACTTTCTGCCCTGCTGTCTCTCAGTCACATTCTCCCCAGAGGCAAGCCATACCAGAAACTAAAATTCCTCTTCCCCAAGGTGGGTTATAGAAACCAGAACCCCATTTCCCCAAAGCCAGCCATAACAAAATATGACTCTAACTCCCCCTCCCTTTCTGTGTAAAACCTGGCCATAAAGAAATGATCTGACCTACTTTGTTTTACTGTAGGTCATCAGACTCTCCTTCCAGAGAGGGTCCTGTCCCACACCCAGAAGGAAGGATGCTCAGAGAGGCCGATAGAACCTAGACAGACAGGCCTTGCTGGGTTTCCTCATTCAGTCTATTAGCATCGGATCTCCCTTTTTGTCCAATCATATTTTTTACATAACTCTCCATACTTTGTTGAACCTAGGCATAAAAATGGACCATTCTCCCTGTATCTTTGGGTCTTCATCTTGAAGGCTACAGGGTCACATAAAATGATGATCAAATAAACCTGTGTGCCTTTTCTCCTATTCATCTGCCTTGTCAGTGATTTTCAGCGAAGCTTCAGAGGGTGAAGGGTAAGTTTTCCCTTGGCCCAGACACCAGCAAATGTAAGTAAAGTATTTTTCTGAGTCCTGTGAGCCACTGTAACAATATGAAATGGGGAAGGGGTCGTGGGAACCCCTGATTTACAGCTGATCAGTCAGAAATATGGGTGGCCTGTGCCCTGCAACTGGCATCTGAAATAGGGATAGTTTTGTGAGACTGAGCTCTTGACTTGTGGGGTTTGCACAAACTCTGGGTTACTAACTCTGATGTCAGAATTGAATTGTAGGACACCCCACTGGTCTTGGAAAATTTGTTGGTGTCAGAAAACATCCCAGAGTTCCCTACTGCAATGAGCTTACCACGTGTGGCAGGGAAGAGAGATAGTGAAACAAGTCATTATTGAAGACGGGAAAGGATGAGGTGCCCAGAAGGCCCACAGCAGGGGGATTTGCCCTAACTGAGGACAGATAGAAAATGTCCCTGAAGTTGGGCGCAGTGGCTTGCGCCTGTAATCCCAGCACTTCAGGAGGATCACTTGAGCCTAGGAGTTTGAGATCAACCTGGGCAACATGGCGAAACCTCATCTCTACAAAAAAAAAAAAAAAAAAAAAAAAGTTAGCTGGGCTTGGTGGTACGCGCCTGTAATCCCATCTACCTGAGAGGCTGAGGTGGGAAGATCACCTGAGCCCAGGAGGTTGAGGCTGGCAAAGAGGGCAAGGAAAGAGCTCCAGGGAGAGGGAGGAGCGTGGACCTGTGGGAGGGCTGGCTGAAGACGAGGCTGGAGATAGAGTGGGCCTGCATTTAAAGGACACCTATGCCAGGTAAGACAAACACTGGAATAATCCTAACCTCAGGATGATAACAACTTCACAAAGCCTTTAAGAAACCTGTGGATATTTCCCCTTCAGAATGCTCCTGAGCCTCATTCATTCATTCAACAAGTGTCGAGGAAGCACGTTTCATGTGCATGTGCTGGTGAGGAGCTGGGACTACTCAGTGAAATCAGACGTCATCTGTACAATGGAGGAAACAACAGGCTGGCCCTGAGGAGAAGCATCATGGATGCAGGCTTGCTTCTGCCCATCATCTCTTTATGGGATAGCCCTGCTTACAGTCAGTGTGGTTTCACTGGCACTAATGTCACCTCTTTTAGCTCCAAGGAGGGGCATGTGACCAGGCCTGGCTAATCAGAGTATCATAATCCTTTTGGCCATTGTGATTGGTTCAGAAATGGACACATGACCTGAGTTCAGCCATTTACATCCTTCCTCAGGACTTTTGATGGAGCTAATGAGGACGGCACTCACCATCTGAGACAGCAAATAAGAACAGGGTAAGCCTGGAGAAGTCAGGAGCTGCCTTTGCCACCTCATGGAAAAAGTTTGCCTGAAATTAGAGCCAACACAGAGGAAAGGCGATCTAAAAGGTGGGTAGACAGATGCTTGAGTTCCTGGGTCCAGCTGTCCCTCCTCCTACATGGATGGGTGTCAGACTTTGTAGTTACAGGAACCAATAAACTCACTTTTTTGTTTAAGTTAATGGAAACTGAGGTTTTTTTGACTTACAAGCAAGAATTCTGATTAATACAACAGGTACATGGGCCACCAACTTCACAATAATCTGATAAATGCCGTTATAATAAAGGAAAGGCAAGGAGGCGGGACAGCATAATGTGGGTGGGGCTGGTGCAGCTCACGCTGCTGGCCCAGCTCATCTCTGTCTGCCCCACCCTGGACGTGCCCTGTGGCGTCAGAAGAGAGTTTTCATGAATATTATCGGCTTTCTAGCTCAAGGTCCTGTGTAGGTATGTGCTCAACCCAGCCACAGGACAGGTTGGAAGTGCTGAGTGGTTAGGACTCAGGGACCAACCTTTAACCTGTGAAGGATTGCATGTAGAGTTTCAGCACCCCTGCTCCCCTACTTCTGGGTGGAATAGTTCAGAGGTGTTCTTTTCTTAACCCTTCATAAGGTCCCTGGCAGGTTGCACTGAATTGTCCATAGATGGACCCTTTTGCTGGCTTTTCTCCTTTCTCTGTCTCACTCTCCTATTCCTCACCTGGGCATCCTGGGATCACCTCCCAAGTAGAGCATTTACACCCAAACCCTAATCTCAAGGGTCTACTTTTGGAGAACACAAACTCAGACAGAAGACCTCTGCAGACAGACCATATAGGTTTGGATCCCAATGATGATGCTTCCTGTTTGACTTTGGACAATGTATTTAATTGTATGCCTCAGTTTCCTCATCTATAAAAAGAAGATAGTAATTTCACCATCTTATAAAATTGTTGTGAGGTTGAAATGAGGTACCACATACAAAGAGCTCCCAACAATGTAAGTGCTGCGTAAATACTGGTTATTGTTCTTTTTATTCTTCTTCTTCTTGTTCTTGAGTGTTGTCTAAGCACGACCCAAGGGTCTGGGAAATCTTGGAAGAGGTGACACTTCAGCTGAATCATGAAGGACCAGCAGGAGCTGGGATGAAAAGGAAGGAGAGGGCCACCTCGAGCAAAGGGAATGAAAGGCTCCACTTTGGAACTCGCTTCTCTGTCTAAGTTAATAATTCTAGGAGATTATATCTTTTCTAAAGCATCTGAAAATACCTTTTTTGGATACAAGATAACTTTTGATATCACTTTTTGTTTTGTATCCACTGCAGAAGAATTAGAGTAGAAGTGGCAAAAAGGACTTTGAGTCCTGTAAGAGTTAAATCACCCAAATGAGAGGTGTGTGTGCGTGTGCATGCGTGTGTGTGTGTGACGTTTTCTCCCAAGACAGGAAAAGGGCCTGCAGAATGTAGTCCGAAGAAGAGATGTGCCATGCTTCAGAGCCATGGACTTGGGCAAGAGCATAACATCAGAGACTAGTGTCGGCTGAAGACCAGCGAGCCCTTTCCTGTGTGTTTTGCTCCATATGCTCACTCTTGTTCTTGGTGGGTTGTTTTCTTATGTGTTTTGCAATCTCACTTTAGTCAGGCTTTATCTACATGGTCTGGGTTGAAGATGTAGCCCTCCACGGTGGTTCTGCTTTTGATTCCGCAAAATGTCTCAGGGGTATTACAGGCTTAGAACCAAGTTTTATGTTCTTTTCTTTTACCATATCATGCAAGCAATGTAAATTTCAAGTCCTAAAATGGAAACAGGCATGTGGTTA